GTGCACGCAGGACTCCGCATGAACGACAGGTCAAGCAATGTGCAAACCGCGGCCCAAACATTCGCACATGGTGCTAGCCTAAGAAGCATAGGCCGCGCTTCCCGTCACGCTACGAAGGGTGAGCAGGACCGGAAGCATCTCCGATCTCCGAGCGTTGCGCGCATGTGTAGGCACGCGCACTGTGCGCTGGGCTCCGGAACTGCTCATGCACTCCGGTTCCTGTCAAAATGGCTCATTCACGTCTCAAACCGGCAACTGAGCTGCAAGCAATGCGGCCACAGCAGCTTGCCCCAGGTGGCAGATCTTGACAGGCCTGACAGTTTTTGCTAGCCAAGAAATCGGTCAGGCAAGCAGTGTGCATTCGGCCATAACACATTCTGCCAGTGTTTCCATGCGGTTAGCTCATTGCGCCCTCAAAGGCCCCGGAAATTCAAGGTGATCACCTTTTTTGGGGGCCATGGCTAAAGATTTACCACACACAAAAAGCAACACAAGTCAAAAAGGTCAATTCGCTTTGGGCCACTGAGTTCTTTCCCTGTCCAAGCCACATGTCTGGGTCGAAGTCCAGTTCTACGCCATCGAATTCCGCCATGGCAAGACGAGCCGACACCTCTCTGGGAGGGGATGCTGACTATGGCAAGCTCATCCGGTGAAACAAGCTCACCCATGAAGAAAAACCCTTGCACTTCTCTGCCTTTGGAAGTTTGGTTGCTGTCTTGCTTTGTTGCCATACTTGCTTGGCAGGCATAACTGTAGAATTCGGAACATGAAATGAAATCTGCGTCTACATCATAGCGAGAAATTGGAATTTTGGCCTGACACTGGTAGCGCCATGGGTTTGATGGGGCATGGTCCTTTTGGCTGGGCAATCTTCGCCAATCCGTGTCACATGTCCACGTGGTGAAGCTGGAGCCACAGCCAGTGCTACATGGAGATCCGAATCACTCTGGCATCATGCGATGCCAGCAGGTGAAATGAGCCCTTCGCTCTCAACCAGTCAAGACTTGCTTTTGCTTCACAGGTGAGGTATGGTATCCCAACAGCAGATATCATAGTTTGTCAACCCATCCTCATGTCGTCGCTGGGTGTGCCCCAATATAGCCCAGCACTTGCACTCGTCGCCGAAAGTGGCTTCTGGCCTGTCCCACTGGAGCATGGGCTCGGGCCTCAGTAATGATAGCTCCTGTGTGTTTGTTTATTTTTTGTGTGTTTGCTTGTTTGTTGGACATTGCAGGTCAACCAAAAGCGAAAGCAACGCGATGCAGCCCCCACGTGGGATAGTGTCCCAAAGGAATCGAGAGGAACCATCGCCATTGCGGGGCTCGTGTAACTTGGACACATCGCCACTCGGCATCTTGCTGCTTCCGCTGAATTCTGCGCAAGTTAGGCCCTCGGACCGTCTCTCTGGCCTCGACCAAGAGCTCCATGCCTTGGATCGATTAACATATGGGTCAAACTTAAACCACCAGGAAGTGGACCGCAGGTTTTAGTCCATGTTTTCATTTACCAGGGCAAGCCATTTGGGTTACCAACTATTTTTGACCAGCCATATCTCTCTCTGCGGTGAATTCCGTAGATGCACATTCTTGGAGGCCATCTTGAAACACATGCAATGCCACGCTGCACGGCCGCTCGTTCTCGCATGACAAGCCCGGAAAGAATATCATACCTTTTTCCGTTCCATAAGCATCTTACAAAGTCTAAGTGCCTGGCATCACCAGACCAGCTGCCGCCCTTGCCGTGTCCCTTCTCGCTATATCCCTTCTCGCCACCATAGCCGTATCCTTTCTCGCCATAGCCCTTCTCGCCATAGCCCTTCTCGCCATAGCCATAGCCCTTCTCCCCATAGCTTCTCTCACCGTAGCCGTAGGCCCTCTCGTTGTAGCCTTGTGCGTGCATCCATAGATGCCGCGCGAACACCATATCGAAATGGTGCGAAACAAACACCAGCAATAGAAAGAGCGGAAGTACTGACAAGCGCGTACGTACCAGATAAGCAACACAAACACTCACGCAGTTCATGTTCATTCATGAGCACGCCATGCAATGGCGTGACAACCAACGAATCACATCACAATGTCAGGCAAACAACATACCACAAAGTACGCACAGTAGGAATGTCACCAGCTTGAACAACGGATCGGATAATAAATCATACTGGTACTGGGGAGCAGGTTGTATCCTCTCCTTCACATTTGCCAAGGGCAGGAAGCAAGACTCGCAGAAGGAAATGACCATTGGTGAAGATTTAGGCGCACCAGAAGAACCATTCAGAACACATAAATAGACAGCTCTGCACACACATTGACAAAATACAATGCAAGGAGCAAATGAAACAACCGAACCAAACAGCTCAAGGTACAGTCATACAATATGTCAATGTATGTTGCAGTTATATACACTTCGGCCACCGACACTAACAATCCAAATACGTGCAACATATTGGACACGTACCACTGTGGCGAGTCCCGCGAAGTCAGGTCATATTTCGAATATACAGGAGTTCATTTCAACTGACACCTCCCTCAGCACGGATTTGGAAGCTCAGCATCATTCCATCCGTCACCTTAGGGCAGGGCTTTCCTCGCGCCAGCCTTTGCCTTTGCCCTTGTCCCGGGAAGGTCCTGGCGGTCGGTGGTATTTCGCGCAGCCAGGCCTTCTGGGCCGGAACATTGACAGGGAAAAGTGTAAAGATCTGCGGGAAAACCCGCGCAAAACCACAGGAACGACCCTAATTCGGGATCACACGCCTGTGAGGTTGGATACCATCAAGAGGCGGGATTCGAAATGAGTGTCTTCTGATGAAACAAAGCGGTGTTGGAAGGCATGAGCCGGGTTCGCTGTGCTCGTTTCGGACAAACCTGCAAATGTGGTTCCTTTGAAGACACCGTCCATGGCAACAACTGTGCAAACAATGCAACGTTAAAACTTGATTGAACCCCCTCTGATTAAAGAGGCCCGGTTTTCCTAGCCGACTCAGCTAATCCTACTTCAAAGGCGCCCACAAGATTTGGCCCAAAAACCCTCTTATTTTTGTGGGGCCAACTCCCAGAAGCCCCTCTGATTGAAGACGCCCGTGTCCGGCCCAAAATTGAGGAAAATACCAAACAAGTAAATATTGAATTCCAAAGCTATTGCCAATACATTTGCCAATACTAACTCCTTTCATAGTCTCAAGGGTTGCCATTCCAGAAATAATAATAATAATCATAATAATAATAATAAATGATGATAAGGCCAAACGGCTGGCCGGAGTCAGCTCGTTTCTTGTTACATTTGGCTTTAAAAAACAAGGTTTGTCAAGCTGGTATAGGGTTCTCCCCTTCAGGCTAGCCCCCCGGAATAACACACACCCTCTGAATAATCAAGTCGCTCTCCAGCCCTGGAAAACAAGCAGCAAAACAATGTCCTGTACTTTCCCATAGAACTCCTGTTGGCCAAACAAAGGTCCACACAGGAAGGGACCACAGTACAGGCCAGGTCCGGATTTCATGCGAAGGGCCCCAAGCCATGCCCTCAAATCCGGTTTTCCCAGACCCTGAGGACCTTTGTGGGGAGGGTTTTGCTAATCAAGTTCCAATATCCACATTCATTCGACTTGCTGGTCGGCCTCCCCAGGCCCAGTCATCTGCACGAGCGCGCTTGGCTGGCGGGCCTTGCGAGACGCTGAACAGGTCAAGGCTTCGAACGAGGCCGAGACTCGAACATGGGGAGCGGAACAGCGGAACTTGATGCTTGAAAAAGGAACGTTGACAAAACGCGGATATCATTGACAAATATGTAACCATTCAACATCCAATAATGTTTCTTCTGACTCATGAAAGGTGTGTGTGTGTGCTGTGTGTGTGTGCTTGTTTTAAGCTTTACGACATTGGCATTGGATGCTGATGTGCATTGATGCTCACATTCGAGTAAACATAAAACAAATGTCCGCAACTGTCACAAACAACTACTTTGGTTGTTGTTTTGTCCGATTGTTGTGTTATGCATCACATCCTCGTCGCTACATGTTTTTCTCTGTTGCTTCCAACACATGTCCTCGTTACTTCCTCGCACATTTGCACGTGTGTATGCTTCCACTAGCAATTCACATATGCAGAACATGAGTCTGATGAAGGTTTTGAACACATAGGGCTTGAAAAATCTGCAAATACGTGGGTGGATAAGATTACACATGCTGCCTGGGCTTTTGTAGTGGTACAGTTCGCACACGCATACAACATGAAACGCAGAGCTGGCTTATATACATGTATAGACATATACGTGTACAAATATGTATTCATACATACATCATATCAACTCCACGTTCTCTACTCCGTGATCATCTAGATCTTATCTCTCCGGACAGCGACTCCAGCTTTTCTGACGTGTGCCACCTGAGTGATTGGACGCCGACGCCGAGCCCCCCACTCCAATCATCCAAGACTGTCCGCCGCGCGCCGCGCGCACCTTGGTTTTGGACACATCAGCAGAACTTGGGCGCTTGGAGCACGAGCTGAAGCGAGTACATCTACAAAACGACATGGCTTTGGGAGTGGTGTTACATATATGTAAAGCAGCGCCTGCATGTCCCATGCTCTCTAAGAAAGCTGCCGGCGCTAGGACCGTCCCAAGCCTTGGCTTCCAAAGCAAACTGAAAGTGGTCAAACAGCTCGAGCACAGGATTCCACGTGACTCAGCACAACTTACGCATGTAATGTGTGTTTGTGCACGCTTGCCGCACCGTGCGCGGATGTGTGTTTGTGTGTGTGGGTGGGTGCGTGGTGTTTGAGTGTGTTTCCTGCATGCGTGCGTGCGTGCGTGCGTGCGTGTGTGTGTGTGTAAGTTTGTGTGTGTGTGTGTGTGTCTGTGTGCGTGTGCGTGTGCGTGTGGGTGTGTGTGTGTGTGCGTGTGCGTGTGCGTGTGCGTGTGCGTGTGCGTGTGCGTGTGCGTGTGCGTGTGTTTGTGTGTGCGTGTGTTTGTGTGTGTGTGTGTGTGCGTGTGTGTGTGTGTGTGGGTGCGTGCGTGCGTGTGTTTTTTTGGGTGCGTGCGTGCGTGCGTGCGTGCGTGCGTGCGTGCGTGCGTGCGTGCGTGCGTGCGTGCGTGCGTGCGTGCGTGCGTGCGTGCGTGCGTGCGTGCGTGCGTGCGTGCGTGCGTGCGTGCGTGCGTGCGGTGCGTGCGTGCGTGCGTGCGTGCGTGGTGGGTGTGGGTGGTGGTGGGTGGGTGGGTGGGTGGGTGGGTGGGTGGGTGGGTGTGTGTGTGTGTGTGTCTGTGTGTGTGTCTGCGTGTGAGTGTGTTTGTGTGTGCCTGCTGTGCGTGTCTACTGTCTGTGTGTGTCTGTGTGTGTGTGCGTGTGTGTTTGTGTGTGTCCATGTGTGGGTGGGTGGGTGGGTGGGTGGGTGGGTGGGTAAGTGGGTGGGTGGGTGGGTGGGTGGTTGGGTGGGTGGGTGGGTGGGTGGCTGGGTGGGTGGGTGGGTGGGTGGGCTGGGGTGGGGTGGGGTGGGGTGGGTGGGGTGGGGTGGGTGCGTGGGTGCGGTGGGGTGGGGTGGGTGGGTGGGTGGGTGGGTGCGTGCGTGCGTGCGTGCGTGCGGGCGGGCGTGCGTGGGTGTGTGT